TTTATTTGACCATCAAAGATTTCTATCTTGTATGTCATATGGTTAACCGACCTAGAATGCAATAGACATATCATACTTTACATATTTGTATTGCTGCTTCAATTTTTTCTCGCTATAAAGAATAATTCTTGGCATCTGCGCTGATGATATTCCATTAGTCCAATATTTTTCTATTGTTGCACGTGCCTGTTTATTTCAACAGAATATTGTCTCTTCTATCCTACACTATTTAATTATAACTAAAGGTTATGTTAATACAAATACTTACATTCTTTTCGTGATGCTGGCACACCTGCATGGATACAACAATGTTTCCCGCGTTTGTTTGTAATTTTTTCTCATTTCCCACGCACTCTCCTTTTCACTTGGAGAAAAATTAACAAATCGCTCAATTTCTGTGTTTAATTTATGAAGTTTTATAATTGCGTTGTAAAGGCGTACCTTTGCATATTTGTCGTCTGCCCGGTAAAGAAAGGAATGCTGATTGTCTAATTAAAATCGCTGTTTCGGCTGAATTTATTAAAGAATGTAGAAAACTTTACGATTCTATTTATTAAAATAAATTAAAATATATTAGATGCACGTTAACCAGAGTTAATAAACTATTTGTGAAACTATTTCAAAATCATAGATGGCGCTGATCGAAGGCGGTAAAATTTTTATTCGAACTGGATACGAGATATCAATTCGGCAGTAGAAAATTAATAAATTTCCAAGTTTTTTCTAATTAATTCATGAACATTTATAGCTGCACAGCAAAGTTGGAATTATAGGCAACATTCTTATACAATGTTTAATTTAATAATTAATACTTACATTAGCGATAGGTTTTTTATTTTCTGTAGTAAATAAGATTACCATAGAAAAGTATTTTTCTTGCATAATATTCTTATTATTTTGTAATAAATATTTACTTGCATAAGAAAGCGTTGTTATTTCTATGCCAGATTTGCAAAATAAACATACAATCTTTGGTTACGTTACTTGAGAAATTACATATAACATGCTTAAACTTGAAGAAGCACTTGCAGATGAGATATATTACTAAGAAATCGTAAAAAATAAATTTTTTTATTAAGAAACTTGATTTGCAATTGTTTATTTTCAATATTTTTTAACTATTGAAGATTATTAAATAGAAAATATTATTGAATATTGAAATAAATTATCAGGAATATGTATCGTTAATTAAAGGGTATAATTCTTATATAATTACTAATGATAATTTCGTATATAATTGTATATAATTTCATAACGAGTTTATATAACACTATATTATTACACATTATTATGTATAATAAAATGAATAAAATTATTACAATTTTATGTAATGAAAATTTTAATAGTTACCGTAGGAAAATATTGTTTATAACGGCGGACGTTGTCTTCGTTAGAAGATAGAAGAAGAAATCTTCGTTATTGACATAGACATCTATCATGATCTAAAATAAGAAATCAATCAATTATCGACAAAGCCAATATCATCATTTACTAAAATTTAGAATTAAGCAAACTTATTTCATTCTATAGTCACGTAATAAAATTTATTTCATTGTCCCTATTGCATGTAAATATCATGTGGTAATGGTTGACACAGATTTTAATATATATTGATGTAAAAGTGAGTAATGTTTGTAAGAAAGAATGAGTGGATCGAGTATGCGAGTTGATCGAGTATGCATGCATGAAAGAAGAAAGTACAAATGAGAGAGTAGTTGGATAGGTCAGGTGCAATTCTTTAGCAAATCTGGAAATAACTCTGAAACCAGTCATTTCTGCTAGTACTAGTGTTAATCTTACTTATGCTACTCCTTTGGACTAGTACTACAATGGTTCCGGACAAGACGAAATTAGTTTATAGCACATATTGGATTGAACCTTCAGGAAATTACAGCCATAAACCGCGGTATGCTTCTAAAACCGTGAAGCACCTTAATAACGAGACTCGTTGCATGATCACGCGTTCTATAGGTCCATAACTGTTTCACTGAAATTGCAATGAAAAAGTGCTTTCAATTACCTACTGACACATACGCAGTCGCTGACGTGAATTCACGTCATTTTAAATCCTGTTCCTTATTATATTGTTTATTACTTGACGAGATTTCAAAGAACAGTTTCTGACAAGTTTGGAGTTTTGAAATAAATTTTATTGCTTTTATTCTTGCTTCAATGATAGAAATTTGTGACAATTAATGTTTGGATTCCTTTATCCCAAACAGATTTCTTAAATTTAAAAAATGACACATTTTTATTATAAACAAATTAAACGACGTGTGTTCAAAAGAATAAAGAAAACTCAAACAGTAATATGTTAAAATGTTCGTTTAATTTCTGTCGAATTGCTATTAACTGATTGTTAAAATCTTTTCAATGAGGATGAATCCAAGTTTTATCTCATGTGGGTTCTTTAAATATATATTTTTACTATCTTTATTATCATAAATATTTAGTATGTAATTATGTTCCAATTTTTTTCTTTTTTCGCGTTTAATGAATATTTTTATAAATATTTGATTTCAATTCTTATTAACATTTATTTAACCTGTAGCGACCAAGTTCTCACCCTCGCCAATGGATGGATTCGTACTTGAAGGAGGTTCGAGGACTTTCTCGCAAGTCCTCGGTGAAGCCTCCCTTTAAACCTCCCTTAACACTAGATTTACGGAACCCGTCAATTTGACGGAAAGGTTGCTCCAATTAAACGATGGTAACAGATTTAGTTAATTTATATTAAGACTGTTAATATAATATATAATTGTTTTTAAATTAAACTAATTGTTAAAAAAAAGGCACGTGGATTCCTTTACCTGTCAATTTGACAGGTGTCCTTAGAAATAGATATACAGATAGCGTCCGTAAACCTAGTGTTAAATAGAAGTTCCTATGCCACCTAAGAATCCCCAGTCTAAGAAAAGGACTGCTAGAAGGAAGCCTTACTAATGAGTTCACTAGCAGGCCCGGGACGAAACGCATCGCTTCCTTCTCCTGTCATCCTTCTACCTGCTACCCTATAAATAGCAACGACGATCACAAGGATACCAACAGGCCAGCACCATAAGACACCAACCCATTATCAGGAACCACAAGTCAGCTCAGCGCAAAGAAGACAGTGTTCGTATCAAGCGCTCAGCCCGAATACATCGAGTTAACTATTGTATTATACTTAATAAACCTCTCCCTTGGAGACAGAATATTTGGAATGGTATCTACCCTAAACCTGATGCCCACCTCCTACAAGCCATATAATTTATCTAAGATAAGTAATGTATGATATTCTATATGTATATAAACAAAAATAATGTTTCTGTTGCAAATATAGGATAATAAAATTAATAAAGCTATCGCATATTCGGAAGGAAATGATTTACTGTAAAAACGAGGTTCACAGCTACACGAAAGAAATCGATTAACTAAGAGGAAAGAGAAGTAGTAATTAACACTTTCGCAGTTGGCAATTTCTTCGCCTTTCTGAAACTGTAAATCACTTAAAGTGGAGGAGGTCTAGAGTTGATTGCTGCAGACTTCTCTTACTAGTAGTAGAATAATGATACCAAGATGCAGTAACTTATTATTTTAAATTAAGAAAAATTTACAATGATTAGAATAACTATACTGCAATAAGATTACACTCCAATAGGATTTTTAAATTCGTTTACAATTTCATACTATTTTCTAACAATTTGCCTTACAACATGATGTAAGCTTATAAGAAGTAAGTGACGCTACTGTACAATGATCTCATATAAGAAATATTTTCAGCACTTTATTTTTAAAACCTCTTAAAATTAGCGTTAGTCCACAATTTATTATTCATTAAACGAAATACGTAGAAATTAACAGAAGAAGAAAATTATGTAAAGACAGTAAACGAAATTAAAAAATTTTATTTCACATTTTTAATTTACTTTCGTACTTAAAATCATCAAAACCTAACCTAACCTAATCTAATCAGCCGTCTTATCAGAATTTAAGTAAAATTTAGTAAAATTTAAATTTATTACTTTTTTCACTTGCCAAATCGATTAACTCTTCCAGTAACATAAAAATGGTAACATTACTAACGATTACTTTTTGGCTATTTTTTCTTATAAATTTTATATACCGTTAGATGAAAGTTACATTTGTATTTATGCATTCTACAATATTTATTTCGATTTAAATTGTAAAGGGAATTTTAAAAAACAATATACATTATTTCATTGCATTTCTCCACTTTTTGTTTTATGAAGTTAATCAATTTGTGCAGTGAACGGATCAAATATGTCTTACCTACTTTTCAAAACAAATTTATCTTTTCTTCACTACGTGTAAAAATAATTGACACTTCCATTTCATTTGTTATAAACAATATTAATAGCCATTCTTATTTATATATCCCGGATTAAAATATCTTCATTGTAATTCTTCTCTTTTATCGAATCTCGTTCGCCACAAATTTTCCTCGGGTACTTTTTAACAAAACATGACACGAACTTTCCCGCTGGGAAGTTATCTGATGTTACGCGTTGCAATACAAAATGTCGAATGTTAATAAAAAATCCAACGAACTTCTTCTTTTTCTTTAATCGTATACTTATAGTTTCTGCTTTGGAACTTCGGCTTTTCTATATTCTTCGTACGATATGAATATTTTATGAAACCGTGGTCAATGTGCAAGGAGTAACATTACATGTAACTTGCAAACATTTTCAGTATACAGTGTTCAGTCGTCTGTGCATGGACACATAGAGGCAACATTTGTTTTTTTTTTTGTCAGTATCATGCAATAGTAACTGAAATTGAATAGCTATCTGTAACCCTTGGAACCAGACTGATTCAGTTATTTCAAAATGATGGATACCAGAAGCATCAGTAACCCAGTGCTAATTGGTTTGAGATTGACTGGTATCTGGCCAGGTTTTCCACATGAAATCATCGTTCGATTGATTTGGGTTGTTGATCTGGCTTCTGCACAAATATTTCAGTACCGATATGTATTGAAGCATCTCAGTCTTGATACCTTGACAGATTTCGTAGACAGCGTGGGCACTTCTTTGCCTTATAGCCTGCTGTGTTTTAAATTAATCAGCTTCTGGACCAATCGCGGGTAAAGTATATCATTGCAGCTTTTGTGAAGTGATTATTTATGTATCTTCTATTATTTAATTTCCATCGTAGAATGTTGTTGCACGAATTTCTTAACGATGACAATAATATACTTCGCAGTTGACAATGTTTCACAGTTATTTAGTAACGGTGTTATACAGAGATATAAGAGGTGATTGAACAGTTAGAAATGTTTATTACATCTAAATTATATTTATTATATTCAAATATGAATATTAATTATTAATATTAGTTATTTTATTAATTTTATATTTATATTATATATATATTATTAATTTATATATTTATTATCTACATATACGTACACATGTTCATTATAGAACTTAATAATATCTTGTTCGTATAATTATTATTAATCTATTATTAATCATAAATATATTTTTTAATTATTTATTCTATAATAATAATATTACTATTACTTAATCCATAATAATAATATTATTATTAGTATTGTAACATTTTGTATATTATACTTGATGTATTAAATTATGAACTATTTTCTCCGAAACAACAAATGTCAACTGAAATTAATTTTTATTTAAATGAAACAATTCAATATACTACACATTTTTTCAGGGTAACAAGATCCAGTGTATAAATATTTTCTTATTTAGTCAGTTTTGGATGAATTTAGTAACACTTACTTGAAATATTTTCCTTCATCCTATATAATTGTTATAAAATCTTACGACGAAGAATATTATACATATATAATAAGAAATTATTAAATTCTTCATTACTTCATTTATAAATTTTGCGTTTCCTCTTATTTTATAGGAAAAATGTTTTTAATCGATTATTAAATGCATGCTTCAAAAATTAAGGAAAATTGTCTAAAAATTATGTTAACATAAAAAGAGACACTATTCTTTAAGACACTAATCTTTTATACCATATTGATTTTAATTGCATATATCATTGTTCCGTCGAGGAACAGAGACAAGCGCGGAGACCTCATTACGGTCCTCCAACAGTCAAATCCTAAGTGCCCGAATGACAAGAATATGGGAATTTTCCAACGTGCCGTATTATCGTTGCGTATCCATGGAAAATTTCCATGTCCACAATATACGTGTACTTGAAATAGCAGGTCGCTGAATTTGTCTCAAAACTCACTTATAATTAAATATAATATCATTATAATATTATATATAATATCATTAAAACGATATACGTCCCCATTTTACAAAATTAATGTAATACAATATCAAACCACATTTGTAAGAACACTGTTAAAATAAAGTTACTAATACAATATTGTAGGATACCATTTCAAAAGAAATCACTAATCGGCCATTGCCAACAAGAGCAAATTATAAACCGATCAATATTTTCTAAAAACAAATGGAAAAGTTATTTTGGGTAGCAAAATTAAGTTGCGTGGTCCCTACGGGCAGGTGAAGCGTAGGTTAGGAAAAGAATAAAAGCAGGGCCCTTGACGACCAAAACAGAGTCCTTAGAAATTAATTGTGATCGGCACGAGCTTAAGACGCTCGGTGTTGGAAAGAGAGTTAAATTAGAGTGCATCTTTGTGTGTTTTCGTTGCGTTATCTTGGTGTTCTTTTCCTAAGTTAAATCAGTTTTATGAGTTTTGCGTTTGTGTTATTCTGTACTTGTTGTTCTGTCAGTATTTGGTGTCTCAAAGAATTCATCATCAGAGAAGGCGGGAGGCAGAATATGTGTAGTCGAGACGTAAGGAATAGAGGATCGTGTGTTTAAGAGTTAGAATTGAGAGAAACATATATTACGCTAAATTTAATATTACACTTAATATTACACTTTTAGTTAAATAAACCTGTTTTGTTATTAAAAAGGAGTTGTTGTTTATAAGACGCGCAGATCTCCCTCTGCATTGGATTAATTTAGTAAAAAGTCCTACAATAGTGTAAAGTAGAGAGGTTAGTACACTTCCTTCAAACTCTGTCAAAAGCTTTCTCGATATCTAGAAAAAAGACTGAACAGTATTTTTTTTCATCTAATAATTGGATGATTTGTTGCACCATACAATGGCGTTATTCGATGGTATTGTGTCTTTTTAGGAAAGCGGATTGGTGGTTAGGAATTAATTTTTTATCGTTAACAATAGTGATGATTCTTTTGTATATAATTTTCTCAATTGCCTTTGATAGTATCGGTAGTAATGATAATAGGCCTGTATGATTCAGGAACGTTTTGGGTTTTTCCAGGTTTTAGTAATGTTATAATTTCTGTATTTTTCCATAGCTGGGGGAAGTATCCTACCCGAAGAATTGCGTTTGTTAGTATAGTAAACTCACGAAGTGACATTACATGATGCGTGCATTCAGAATGTAGGATGTAGGATGTAAACTATTTTCAATTAAATTTTGATTTTTTCTTTGTATACTTGTGATTTACCATTCGAAATGCGATAAACGAAAATACAATCACGTTGAACATTTTGTAAAGAAGTTAAACTGAAAAATTATCTTTAAAGTTTTTGACACCAATCCTTTGTTACTTGTAGTTACTACATATATATATATATATATATAACAATATTTTGCAGAATATTTAGAAACATATTGTTAAGAATGTCTCACGACTGGACCTATTCTGTTGCTGCTAAACATAATGTAGATGTCATGATAAATAAATCTGTACTCGCATATCAGTGTTCAAAGTTAATTATGGCCATATATGCAATTGCCGTTTTCGTGTATGCTAGTGTGTTTCTGGAATTGGGAGATCAGAGTCAAGACGGTGGATTTAACCGAACATCCCGAGAATTATTAATGAAGATGGACTTGCCTTTTGCATATTATGACAGTCCAATATATGAGTATGTATTTGTTGTACAATTTGTTCAACTACTGTCTACTGCATTTGCCATTGCCATGTTAGATGCCTTAATAATTTCACTGGTAAGTGAATTTTGACATAATAATCAAAGATATCTATGCTTATGATTTATTAACCATTGTTTGTGTAGATAAAAATTGTTCAGAGTTGAATTTCTTTTTTCATTTCAAGAAATAGAGCATTTTAAATATATTCTTTGAAGAAATATGAAATTTATGGAAATAAAATTACGTGTAAGCAGAAACCTGTAATTTTTAATTTAGGAAGAAGAGTAATACAATATTTACAATTTTCTGAAAATTCTTTTTCTCTTCCTTTTATTAATCCATTTGCATCATGGCTGTACTTAAGGTGCCGTGTTTAGGCATCAGCGACATTCAACTGACGACTAGCACGTATCACCGCGCGCGTATCAGCACCTACCTATAATGGCAGTTAAAAGGATTTTCACAACAAAAGTAAAACTTGTTAAGAATATAACGAACCGATGTAGATGAGATGCTCGCAAAAGGGATCAAACGTGATCTGTGGCATATGAAGAATATTCAGCAACTGGTAATGGAAAAAGTCAGCTTGCGGATTATTCCGCGCTCGGTGATGGGCGACTGTTGTAGCTCGCGGATTTTTCCGCGCTCGGTGATAGGCGGCTGTCGTAGCTCGCGGAATATTCCGCGCTCGGTGTAGACGACAGTCGTGGCTCGCGGAATATTCCGCACTTGGATGCAAATGGGTTAACATTTTTATTATCTTACGTATATTTATCTTGCAGTTAGAACCATAGTTTAACTTCAGTTAAATACAAATTACATCAAAGAGTAGAAAAAATATATGAAGAGCCTGCAAGAGTCTGTTTACAGAAGTATTTAGAATTTTGAATCATTGAAATCAATTACAATTTTATTATATAACTTTTACGAATAATTCAATTTTTTCTATAATAAAAAGTTGTAATTAACATAGAAAATGACACGATTATGATACTGATATGATCTTAAATAATAAAATACAATTCTTCGATTTTTTACTGAATTTTTGTGAAACAAATTTAAGCGAAATCAATATTCATTTCCTTAACGTTTATCTTCCTTAACGACGGTTGATATATTGAAACACCGCAAATGTCGCGAAATCAATTATATGTATTAGATTGTAGTAAATGTTATTTAGATATTTCATATCGGTGGACAGATAGAAATGTTACATAATGATATAGCAAATGTTTCTGTCAAAAATGAAGAGTTTGAAGTACTAAGGATTCAAATTAAATCTTTAATTAATAGACACTATCGAATTATCATTAATGCGGAATATGTCGAGAGTTTGTTCTCATATATCGCTTTGATACAATTATTCTGCAATACACTCGTTATATGTTCTGTAGGATTCATAATAATAGTTGTAAGTAATATTTACCAGATTTATTTTTCAATTACATACTTTTGTTTCTATTAAATTTAAGTTTCACGTTGAAAATCTTTTTATTATTAGTATTAGTTGATGTAACATTTATAATTCTCAGATTTGGTAATTTAGACATTTTTATTATTATAGGCAATTAATTCACACGGCGACATAAAAGTATTCATAAAAATATCATTCTTTTACATTGCCATTACCACGGAAGCATTTATCTTTTCCTTTGCTGGAGAATATCTCAGTAATAAAGTTAGTATTTAATTAACAGCTCTATATGACGAAATTGTTAAAATATTTATGTTGTAATTCAACGGGTAAATTAATGTATTTATCATTTTGTTTTAGAGTCTTTCAATTAACAATTCAGCTTATGACTCCCTCTGGTATCTACTCAAACCAAGGGATCGACGTGCTTTGGTACTTCTCATGATAAGATCGCAAAGACCATTAACAATTACTGCTGGGAAATTTATGGATTTATCTTTAGAAGGATTTGCAAATGTATGATCTATCCTTATTATGACATAACAACAGTGTTTTTAAAGTTCTATAATATGTCAATAAATTCTATCATTAATGACAATAAGAATTAATTATATTTTTTTTAATTTGTTAATTGTATATTGTAATCTATTGTACGATGATATTGAATATTCACATTGGAAATTGAGTGCCATTTGTGTAAATACACCCAGCAATGGATCGCAATAATATTATTTAGCGAGTACTGCTCAATATAAATAGCGGCTTTTTAATATTTCCTGTTCTGAAGATTATTCTTCAGTCACTATAGATACTTTATATTGCATACCCTGTCTCTATTCTCTAGTTATAATGTTCTTTTTCGTAATTTATTGAATTTTGTCCAAATTTTATTAACATTATAATGGCAATTATTATTACTATTATGCTATATTTTTAAAATGAGAATTATAATTACATTCACAATATTTTATACTATATTGTTACATTTGTACAATTTGAATACAAGTTTTTATTCCACAATAATATTTATAATAATACAATTTAATTCTTCAATATGAATTTCTTTTATATGATTTTATTAAATTTATAAATTCGATTTGTACTATTTTGTATTATGTATGCGTACATATAATGATGCATTATTGTATCCAATGTATCCACTATTTTCCTTGTTGGAGTTTCCTTATTTCGAGAAATCGTTTGTTTACTTTTAGCTGTTTAAATCATTCTAATTAGTTTGATCACTTTTATGTTAGACACTGATTTATACAATGCTTGGTAAATTAATATAATTGTAAATTAATAAGGTCTTATTACTTTGTTGTTTGGCTGTACACTTCGAACTTTTTGCAATAATAAAGTGCTAACTGCCAAAATAAACTAATTTATACATGACATGAAATATAATTTTTTATATTCTATATAATTAATCATTTTAATTTAATAATTTTTTATGTTTATATAATTTTCTTACAATTTTTTTTAGATAATTTTAGTAAAAAACCGATTTTTTTATTTACCATCTTGCATGGAATATTGTTAAATATTAATTTAGCATTAAACTTGCCTATTTATTTTTGCAGAAATTACTACCCGTAATTACTATGATATATATAAAAATTTTCAAAAGGGAAGCTTGCTGCTATCAAAGCAAAACCTTAATACCAAAGTGTCAATTAAACATATGGGTCAGTAACGAACATGCTGAACAAATTTCATACTGGATTTGTAATTAGAGTGGAACGACAGTTTATTTCACAGTAAAATAAATAATAAACATGCAATAAACATATAACGAATATAAAATAAATAATAAATGTACACAAATGCCTTTTTTAAAATTTTTAAACGAAATATTCTATAAAATAAAAGGCGTAATTCCCTCCTGCATTTAAAACTTTTAGTTAACTTTAGTTGAAATTGGCATTCTATAAAGCTGGTTTCGATATTGATTAATGAGTTTCATACTAAATTACTTATGTACTCAGATTTCTTATCAATAACAGACATTGGAAGCTTTTGATCTCGCGTTAATTAACATTGATATATTATATAACTTTAAAAACACGTACAGAATGTACATACTTATTATTCTGTTCTATATATTTTACATTCTTTTATTATTTTATTTTCTAGATTCTAAAGGCCTCCGCGTCATATGTATCAGTATTATATGCTATGTATTGATCACGAAGAAGCGCGTCGCAAGAAATATAATAACTTCGTACGCGTACTCAAAAATATGACTGCAAATTGAGAATTAAGAAAAAAATATATAAATGCGCATTATGCTGTATGGGGCAATAAAGGCTTGAAATATATCTTATTTATACAGTGATTTATTAGTAATATAACACAATTTACAGGAAATCTGATTTATCAATTCAAAGGGGAGTCTGATAATTTTGTATTACATTATTTCTAAAGCAGTTGTTAGTGTGGATAGAACACCAATACCTTCTAGGTTTTTTAACAGTTAACACATTAGTATATTTAGATAAAAATATTTAAATAATGAAAACAACTCGCATTAAACTATTTTAAACAAAAATTTAATTGACACTTTTCAAAAAATTCTTCTCTCTCTCTCTCTCTCTCTCTCTCATTCTTATTAACAGTTGCATAACCATGTTTCCTCTTTGACGATTCTCACATGACTTATTATTCTGGCATATTCTTCTAAACATTCTTCCAAACATCATTCATACTAGACTGCACTCGCACATATTATATTTATATCATCGCAAATGAGTTGCACTTATTCAACCTTATTCGTATTCACACATAAAATCAACACTCACAGTTAGTAACGTATTTATTAATTTTACAGAATGGGCAATACAAAGCTAAATAGATATGTATTGTTTCAGATTATATTGTCGCAACATGTTTAAAGAAATAGAAAAATTCATTGTGAATTAGTATACTATTGTGGTATGGGCGAATGGCGTAAGCATTTATCGTAGCGAATGGCAGTTGCATGAATGACTTAATAGCTGATCGAATGATTGTCTACGCGATTCATGAGTGTTCGGAAGGGTGGGAATGTGGACAGTAAAAATATTTTTATTAAATAATCAGCGGTGAGTAAAGAACGAACGATTCCGTGAAAACGCATCTATTGAGAGAGAGCTAGAATCTTTAAACGTTTTGCAATGCGTAGTATGAATGCGTGTGGATCCTCCTTCCCCACGGTTCTTGACGTTGTACTGGTCGCAGGTATCCTTGTTGGCGGTGTAACTAGAAAGGACGAAAGGAAAAGATGCGCTTCGTCCCGAGCCATTTAATGGACTCATCAGTGGAGCTACCCTAGCAGGCTCTGCCTTAGACCGGGATACTATTGGAAGGTCGGGAAATTATTGTGACTTTGCTGTTTAACCTCTTGGCTACTGTGGGTGCATATACGCGCTCAGAAATTTTGCGTTTGTGATACGGAAAGCGCATATAAGCGCTCAACACAGTTTGCTTTTCTGATACGGAGGGCGCATCTCTACCCAAAATTTGGCCGTTCTCGGCGGATATTGTAAATGAATTCCTACCTGTGTGGTACGACCGGTGCGTTTCAAAGTCTGCCGTAGTCAAAGGGTTAACAATTATATATTTATTACAAATTATAGTATACACACGTCACAAGAAGATTACAACCATTAGGTATGTGTGATGAAATTTCTCTTAATACTATTCTTATCTCGTCACTGTTCACGTTCACAACATATTGGCTCTGACCTATAACAATTGCACAATACCACGCATTCTGGATCTTCCACTCACACTTGCGAAAACATACATATCTACATTTGTGCCATCACTCGACCTCACACGCTCGCATTAACACAAATAAAACCATATTCACAGTTACATATATATAGGAATTGGAGGGTTCCCGAGGACTTGCGAGAAAGTCCTCGAAGTCGGAATCCATCTAGTGGCAAGGGTGAGAATGATGATTGCTATAGATATAAAAGGAATGTCAAATGATGCAAAAATTAAAATGCAAGTACGAGTGTGTCGAGGTTTACGTGAGCGCTGATTTCGTATCAATCTGTATTTCTACATTAAATACCATTATTTTAACAGAATTGTTCTCGACTGCGAATCCAATCCTACACTATCATACATAATGAGCTAATGACAGATTTCATGTTTTCCAGTGATTCTTGAGATTGATATAATATATTGTAGGATATTTTTTGACTTCCCCAGGTATAGCGGTCCCGTTAGCGTCTGGCGGCCAGACGAATCTGGGGAAATTGGGGCCAGGCCATGTGAGGTAGCCTCGCTCAACCCCGATTTTCCTCATTGTAAACTGGGGGTAACGCGTCCGTGGGCACCTCTCGGGAAGGGTCCCCGCGTGGGTGACCCTTCGGAGAGCCTAACCTGAAGGAGGAATCCCTTCCACCGCAGAGCGTTACGTGGAGGGAGCTTTCTCCTCCTTCGGGGGAGGCCCTTGCCTTCCAGACGGGCTTAAAAGGGTCCGCTCTGGAAGATAGAGGCAAGTTTTGAGAGAGTCATTAGAGAATTAAGATAGTCTTAGAGAGAGTCAAGATCGAGAATTGTGATTGCGAGAGTTACGCGTTATCGAAAGTCGAATCGAAAATACAGACTGCAGTGAATCTGAGTATTCCGAGGTACTCTCCAGCGAGTAGAGACTGTGTGACTCTACAATATGCTATATACATACTCAAATAAAGTGTATTTTTCTCAATGATACAGAAAATTAATTAAATTAATTTTAATAAATAGATTACACTTCTTTGTTTTACTTGAACTTGCTCGTGTAAAAAATGGAAGTGATAAGATGGTAGCAGAGCTATGAAAGACAGGCCAATGAGGTTCTATTGCCTGCCAGTCCAAAGATTCCTTACAATATTAGATTTAGTAGATAAATAAACAAGAAGTATCGATTTTTGCCATATTTATGAAAGGATACTAAAAACAATCACTTTTTCATTATTTTTGTCAACAGCATAATTATGCAGGTGGTCCAAGTCAAAATGATTTTATTTTTTATTTCGTATTAACTTCATTATAAAATTATTCTCGGCAAAATAGCGAGGAACTAAATCATCAGATTGCGTTTTGTTGCAATTAACCCTTTGCTGTAATTAAATATTTTAATTCACAACATACTTAAAGCACGAAGTTTTTAATATTTTGGAACGTGACATATGTGTAACTAAGGTCACTACATGTTCATTATTTCTTCCAATGATTTACTATATATCTTTTCATTTGCAACTTTTCATTCTTAAAAAGTCAAAATGAAAAAAGGTAAAGAATCTGTATACCAGTTTACCAATAAGTTCATTTATCACTAGAATTATGCAAAACAGTGTTCACAGAATTAGCAGTTTTATTTATATACGAAATTTAGGATTCCGTGATCATGTGTATTTGTATAATTGTCATACACTTTTTTTTCTTGATTAGCATAACGTAATAATGGCACGTTGATATCGATTAGTTCAAATTCTCAAAAATGATTTAAACGAATCTGTAACGTGTATTGATTTCTGGAATTCCCTGAATTCAGTTCAGCTCGACAAAACAAACGCAGCGAATAAGAGTGAGCGAGAGAACGAAGCTGCTTCCATTCGATGTTCAAAATAATAAAGCTTTCGTGACTTTTATAACATTTCACGTAAAATTCCTTTCTCTCAAAACTGAATATTTTTCGCAATACTTATTTTTCTTTAATATTATCCCAAAATTTATGATATCACTCATTGTGGACGTTTCTGAAGAAGTGATGTATGGATCTATGGATCCTTTCTCGGTACATTGCCTATAATGAGTTGCTATGTGTCTAAAAATATTTTCTGAAAGTAAAAATTTAATATTCCAACTATTGGGACTATGGGTAAAAAGAAATAACTATCTGTATTTTATAATTATCTTTATTCTCTCCTAAGGAAGGTGTTTCCGTCGCGACGCAAACGTTGTTTCCTCTGGTTGGTTTCGCGTGGAGTGCTTTAGACTGTTTTAAAGTCTAGAGCTGTTAAGGGTTGTTTCATCGTGTTGACCGTTCGGTGGTCTGATTCTAACTGACTTCGGTTTTTTGAGTGTTTTGGTTCCTTGCCTTGGCGTTGGCACGCTGATTGGCTATTTTAAAAAGTCCCAATTTTCCAGTCAGCAGCATCCTCAGTGTCGTGACCACCCTTCCATGCGCCCTTGACGCGCCTTCCCCTGCAAGGGTGGGACGACACTTGAGCGGGCGTGAGGTCATGTGTTTTTCCCAAGGCCACGGCGTTCCTCTGGCCCCGAAGCGCAGGCTTGTAAGACCGTTAGATACGCTTCGCCGTGACCCTTCGAAATTACTGTGTTTTATAACACGTCTTTGGCTATTGAGTATGGATTAGACTGGGATTCTAAAAACCTCATGTTTTAGCCCCCCAATATTCTAAGATTCCAACTCAAAAACAGTCGGTCTTTACGATCGTGTTATAAACCTTGGAAATACTGACCCCACGGTCCGTGATGGGTAAGCCAAGGCGGGATGGGTCGAATGCACCGCGTAACAGAAGGTATATCTCAAGTATTCTGACTTCGCGTAGAGAGTCAAAATTAGAGTAAAGAAAAAGGATATGTGATTGCAACTCGCCCTAGTCCTCTAATTCTTATCTAACGTGTGAAATAAACACTTCACGCATTCCCGGAACCTCTTCGGTGCATAGTTTAAAGATATATCTATTTCCCCTGAGAGATTAATTTTTGTATATTCGATACGTTAAGACTCGCAGACCTTGCATTTTCCTTGTTAGTTTACTCCAATAGTTGTACTCGATTTTTCGCAATACCTAACACTACTAAGACACACAACTCTGCTCTCTGCGCAACTCTAACACTCCGTTTGATTCCGACTCGCAATCTAAATCTGCCCTCCGATCGTCCTCGGCGTGCTTTTTCTTTCTTGCCCATCATGCACATGTTTTCCGATATTTCCCAAATGACAAAACAATCACCATGACCAAATATTGTAATGTTAAGGACCTGATGCATCGTCCAGAATTTTTCCCAACGGACCTAAGCTTCGCACCTTAGACCCTTGCACTCTCTATAACCTTCACAAAGCTGCGTGTAGATGATAGAAAAAGTACGATACTACAGTATACGTATATGCATATCGAAATACACATACTGGCAAAAGTAAAGTATCATAATAATGCCGTATCAAAATTTTAATGAAA